TAACGTAAGTAAAAGAAACGAAGTAACGTAATAACTAGTTAACGTATAGTAAGATAACGACTAACGTATAGTAAGTAGTAGTAGTGTGTGTGTGTGTGTGTGTGTGTGTGTGTGTGTGTGTGTGTGTGAGAGAGAGAGAGAGAGAGAGAGAGAGAGAGAGACAGCTTTTCAACACACACAGAATTATAGTCAGCTGAAGCATTGAAGTAGAGCTTGACAAGCCCTTAAACTTAAAACCTACATCATAAATCAACCCAAAAATGCTTACAAACAAGGGAAATTTCATTACAGCAAGAATGACATGTTTCCATTGATCACTACAAGAAGCCCACTTTTTAGTAGTAACATAAGCAAAGGCAGTTATGTCCCCGAACAAATCGAAGAACCTAATGGATCGAACTAATCCTTGTTGGCCGCTATGTCACTTGTATGATCTCAGCATTTGAACCCAAACTGATGAATGAAAACAAGAAAACTGAAAAAAAAATTTCAAAAACAAAATTCAGAACTTGACATTCTAATTGAACATGATCCTGCAGCTGCCAAATAGTTTCCTCAGCTTGGGTCCTCAAGAGATTTTGAATGTGAACATTACTGGCTCATTCATGAAAGCTTGCCATAAAAAGTATCTCTCATGTCGTCATCAGTTATTCCTTTACAGAACCGCACATAAAAATGCTTTACAGGGGACCTCTTGTCCAATAGCTTATTTTCTTTTCTTTTCTTCTTTTTTCCCTTCTCTGGTAAGAGCATGTCTGCACTCTTCTTTTCTTTCCCTTTCGTTGGACAAAACCCACATGACACAAATAATGTGGTCCCTCACCTGAAAATTATATACCAACCACAATTAGGCCGGTTTGAATGTCCATTTGGGATTTTCCCCATTCCTATCATTCTGCAATGAGTGCCTCCACAGATCATGTATGTGCAAAACAGAATAATTTTGTCATTTTGTGGACCGATTCATATTGTCCAGAGGCATAGTCCCCCAATTATACACCTATATATTATGGACCAATCTGCAATATAGAAGTGTCTCAGATGAAGCCCTAAGTCTTCTAAGCCATGTCTCTTATCATCCCAGTCCAACAGTCAATAAAGTTGGAGATATCCAAAGAGATGAGACTGGGAACTAACAGCTCTAATCTATTATGCAGTCATGAAGACAAGGGGACCAAACTAAGAAACATGCTTTCAAAATGCTGATCTGAAAGCAGAACCACATTCATCTTTCTACGCACACGGCTCTCGCAGTTGGAAGTGTCTGAAAAAAAAGATTTTTCACTCATATTGGATCACAACATTTAATAATATCAGGACCCAATGGCTTGTCCCTATGATTTGTCACAAGAACAAGCCTGATCTTGTAAAGTTCTCCCCAAAAAAATAACTAAAAACAACAAAAAAGCTGAAGTCCAGAGAGACCAAGAAGATTAAAAGTAGGAAAAAGTTATATACAAGTTGTCAAATGTCAACCTTTTACTATTGATATAAGGCGCACCTCAAAAATACATCGGAAACGGTTGTTCTGATGCTAGAAACCTTCAAATTGATGATCTCGACGTCGAGATGTATGGATGTGGAAAAAAAAAAGGATTCAAAGTCATGAAACTAGTGCATCTCGTAACACATTATTTGGACCTTGCATTTCCAAAATTTTGAATTGTTTATAGATTTTTGGAGCTTTTGAATTTCAAAATTAAGGGCGAATAGATTTTCATGTCATCGCAATGCTTTCCAGCACCATTGCACCTTTTGACATGGTTCTGGGGTGTCGTTACTTTGATTGTTTAAGGTTGATGCCTTATACAAATAATGGCGTTCTAATGTTTTAATTTATAGGTTGTAAGCTCAATCTAGTTCAAAAAGCCTAAGATTTTTGTTTTATGTGCTAGGCCCTTTTCTTTTTCAAATAAATTAAGATGATCATAAGATTCAGGATATTCAATTGTGGTAATTATACTAATATTATTTGGTGATATTTTCCAACTGGACGGACCTATCACATATCACAGGGAGAACAGCTTTAGTACTACAGTTCCTCCATTAGAAAGAACAATATCAGCAGCAGAGACCTCACTCATAACAACACATAACACCTTTCTAATAATGGAAGCCATGGATTTTGTCAACCACTAGCTACTATTTCAAACTAGATGATTGTTTTATTCAATGTTCAAAAACCCATTCTTTGATCTTCATGGTACATAATTTGTTTTTTTGATCGTTAATCTTCATTGTGGTTAATTATTAACTCAAGAAGCATCATGGAGGTCAGAAAATCAGGACACCATTTGTTCAAGGTGGTGCCTGGCCCATTTAGGTGAATAGCCAGGTGAATGCCTCGTGCTGCATGGGTGGAAAAATTGCCCATGAGCACATCTATTTTAGTCATTTTCATCCTCAAAAGGGAGAACAGGTTTGGGGGGGTAAATAACATTAACACCACTTGTTGGGCCTGCACTTCCAAATGGACATGGGCTTCTCACGCGTCACAAGAAACAGCTTTTGCACTGCAATTCAACACTGAACAAGATGGAGCAATATCAGCGACTAAAACCACCCCCTTCATATCTTTCGTGATGCCTTCATATATTAGTTGATATAGACATATTTCAAATAAGACAAATAACTGAAATGAGAACATAGCTATTTAAGTAAAAGAATTTTGCAAGATGCTCTAAATATCTAGAAGAGGACTGACGACCTCAAATGCATTTTGCAAGATGCTCTAAATATCTAGAAGAGGACTGACGACCTCAAATGCATTTTGCAAGATGCAGTCATGCAGCTTGAATACTGCTCCCAGTAGTTGTCCGTACAAAATCAGTAAGCCCAAATCATATATAACTCCTAAATCTTATGCCACTAGTTTATCTTTGATATAAGAAGGAATTGTCTACAAAGAGACCATTTATCTTGGGTGTGGCTCTAAACAATCAAAGTAAAGCGCCCCTTTAAATAGTATAGAGAAATGTGGTTTCAATAATAGAAATCTGGTGATAGCCTTAAAATATATTTTCATCTTTAATTATAAAATTTAAAGCTTCAAAAATAGTGTAGATTGAGCAGATCTATGAAAACTTGAAAATCTTGAAAATTAATGGTCCAAAAATACGTTACAAGTTGCATTATTTCCACAGCTTGAAATCCTTTTTTTTTTTATGTCCATGCATCTTGATGTCGAGATGATCAATTTGAGGATATTTGGGCATCAAAACAACCTCTTCTAGTGAAATTTTTTATGTGGGTTCTAATTTGATTGTTTAGAGCCTCGGCTCTATATGAACTTTTTCCTGTATCTTTTGTACATAGAAGTCACAATAATCCCCACTCATTAGATATCAAATTGGATGCTTGGGGTGAGTCACAAAGTCCCAGAATTTTTTTTTTAGAACTTTGTGTCTATTCAATGTCACTCTTACAACCACGCATTTTGAAACTTAAGGAATAAGAATGATTGTCACCTTCCATGTACAAAAGATAAATGGCCTCTTTGTGGACAAACCTATAAAAGAAATGTACAATAAAGTTATTTTTGATGATCTTCCACAAGCTTCATTTATCAAGGCCTAAGGTCTAACTGAGCCCATCAGGAGAACACATTACAGAACACTGAAAAGAATATCCATGTGTCTCTCAAAATTTACTAAATGACCTAGAATAAATATCTTAACTTTCCTGTGCCAGGCAATAAATTACCATTTTCCAGCAAATTAGTTTGATATGGAAACCTAAATTGAGGACATAAGCACCAAAAGTTAAGTGAAGTACAGAAGGACCAACCTTCTGAGTTCGCAGCCCCATAAGCATATCATTATGCATACCAATGATATTTTCCAACAGAGTAAACAAACACAGTATTATAGAAGCTACAGTAAAATAAGGAGAGGAGAACCTTGGATTGCATTTTTGTTCTGGTCAATCTTTTCCAGTGCAGGAATGCAAAATGCTGCGGTCTTTCCAGTTCCATTCTTTGCTCTCGCGAGAATATCACTGCCAGTCAAAGCAATTGGGATGCTTTCCTCCTGAATTGGAGAAGGTCTTTCAAAACCCTTCTCATAAATGCCCATAAGCAGTTCTCGTTTAAGAAAGTAGTCTTCGAACTCATTTCCTTTGGTAGCAGTGACATCCTGAAAAACAAGAACAGGCCACGACTTCAATATAAGAAACCCACAGCCATGTCATATATCCTGATCCAAAATGTACCAGGCAACCAAACAAATTAACAAACCTGGTCAAGGCAAACATGGTAAAAACTAATGAGTGAGCCTAGAAAAGAAGTTTCTAAAGAAACTCAGGAGTGCAGACGCAAAAATAATCTTAGAAAAACTGAAGCTGCGGCTAATTAATAGAATATTACTAAAAATTGGAAAATAAAAAACGATCTATCTATCGAATTTCAGGCTCTCAATTAAGGGCAAAGATCCTCTAAAACAATTACTTCAAAAAAAAAAAAAGATTAAAACAATCACCATGATAATCTATTCTTCGATGGATGTCCAACAATCCTAAACCATAATGTGAAGAGATAGATATATCAATGACTTGAACTAAAAAACTTCTATCATACATTAGTTACATAAGGAAGCACAGAAGATGTTCTTCCTAAATTACCCTCTATCAATTTGAGACATTTTAAGCCTTTTATCAAGAAGTCTTAAGGTTTTTCTGGAACTACATTTGACTCCAAAGTTTTAGATAATATTAATTAGAGACATATCTCTAATGAGTACAGCATGCAGCTAATTAATAGAATACTATCAGAAAACTTCTCTTATTAGTAACACATTTATGATTAAAATATATTTTGCTCTCATGTTTAACTATAAGTACTTAGTGACACATTCAACGCACGAGTTTGTTTTTTGGGGGAAGAAGAGAGGGAGAGAGAGAGAGAGATAGAGAGGGAGGGAGGGAAGGAGGGAGGGAGGGAGAGAGAGAAAGGGAGGGAGGGAGAGAGAGAGAGAG